ACTGAGCAAGCCATGGGGAGCAAGCCAGTAAGCAACACCCCTCCATGGCCTCTGCATCAGCTCCTGCCTCCAGGTTCCACCCTGTTTGAGTTCCAGACTTGACTTCCTTCAGAGATGGATTGTGCTTAGAAGTACAAATCAATTAAATTCTTTCTTCCCCAACTTGCTTTTGGTCATAGTGTTTCATCACAGCAATAGTAACCCCAACTAGGACAGCTTCCTTTTCCAGTAAGATCCTATTCATGTGGTATGACCCTTCTACTCTGCCAGACCTGGACTACCTGTGTACCTCAGAGACACAGATCATTTCCTTGGCATCCAAGTATCAGACCTGTGGCTCCCCTGTTCAGGACACACATTCATGTCATTTACAAGTTCCCCAGTCCCCTAGCCACCAGACTCAGGAGCCCGGTAGCCACCAGAGCCATTGCACAGTGATGGGTCCCGACAGAGATCAGTACCACGCCTTTGGATACTCAGCATGGAAGCCTACAACTCAGATCTGAAACATCTCTGTTTCATTTAATGTGAGTTACACATTCTTCCATCCACTCAACAAACACCAGTGACACTTACAGTACCTGGGCTATGTGTAGATGATTGGGAGATCCTGTGGTTGAGAGAGAGACCAATGAACAGGACTGTACTTGCCTCAACTGAGGGAACCCATCACTTCCAGCATGACAAGTACCACATGCTTTTGGAGAAGGGCTGATGGACTGAGGGGCAGGCTGAGTATAAGTTACTGTGCCAGTGTACCTGCCTGTCTTTGCACAATCCAGAGCAAATCAGTTAGGAGCTTGGACCCATATTACTATCAATGTGTGTAACAGCTGTCAACTCAGACCTTACGGAAATGTATGTGGATGGATGACATGAAAGATGCCCTTGTGACTTAGAGCACCCAGAACGCACCCACAGTAGAAATGCCTGTAAGTGTGGTATGGCACAGAGGACCGCCAGTCAGGACTATTCTCTCCCTCTTTCTTTCTCAGGATCCCTACATTGACTGGATCAGCAGTTGACAATTTCATTTTCTTGCCTCTCTTACAGCCAGCTACCACCATGGAAGCAGTTCTGGGCAGTGGGATCCACCTGGGACCTGTTTCAGATCTCTGAGGAAGATCTGAGCTTGGCCCCTCTCTCCTCCTTGCTTCCTGCTCAGTACTCCTTGAGGGAGAACATGTGGCTGAAACAGGGCTCACAGGGGTGGATACTACAGACATGTAACATCTGTATCATCTGTGGGGCAAACCTCTGGATCAAGTCTGGGGTGTTGACAGTGCCTTGCCCATTCTTGCCCTGCCTGGCTCTGTGGCATGGGAGAAAACAGAATCCTTTAGGCTGCCATGGGGTTTCTGTCTCACACAGTGACCCATATATGGCTCTAGTGCAAAGAGAATAGCATCCTGGCTATCCTACTTTAGAATCCCCCCGCCTATGAGATGGAGAACGTAATCTTTAGGAGGAATTTTAAATAATATAGGGAAAGTGCTAGGGCTGGCAGGCAGCACTCAGTGATGGACAACATCATGGTTTCCCTTTTGGTAATCTGTCCAAACCCATGAGGTCATTCAGGGAAACTCCAGAGCAAAGGATAAAATAGAAAGCAAAGCTAAGTTTCTGTTTGCAGGCAAGCTGAGAAACATGGACAGATAGATGGCGGTAGCACGGCAGGGGGTGGGGGTGGGGAATGCACCTAATGAGAAGCCAGCAGGTGGCTGAGCAGAGAGAACCGCAGCACTGAAGCTGCTGTGGGTTGTCTGTCCAGCTGCTACATCCAATGTCTCCTGTCTATGCCTTCGCTTTAATCTCCTCATGGCCTCTTCAGGTCTGAGATGACCCAGCTGAAGGCAGCAATGCCAGGATAAGAACCTCCCATCCCCAGCTGACCGGTCCCAATTCAGAGCCTTGGAGACATGCCCATTTGGGAACACAGTACAGCAGCTGGTGTGCCCTGCAACTTTAAAAGAGTCCTGGAGGGGGGGCTGGAGAGATGGCTCAGAGGTTAAGAGCACTGACTGCTCTTCCAGAGGTCCTGAGTTCAATTCCCAGCAACCACATGGTGGCTCACAACCATCCGTAATGAGATCTGGTGCCCTCTTCTGGCATGCAGGCAGACATACATGGAGACAAGGTGTATTCATAATAAATTAAAAGAAAAAAAAAAAAAGAGTCCTGGAGGGAAGGTTCCCCCTGGCCCCCAGCTATACCCTTCTATGCTGTCTCAGCAATCTGACAAGGTATCATGGCCCACATGGAAGAGAGAAAAATGAAGGTTGGGGGTGGTTCAATAAAGTCCAAGTTTGATGACATGGACTCACCATCAAGTGGGGTCTTGGACCCACTGTGTGTGGGGCTATGCCCCTGTGTTTGGAGAGAAAGCACATGCATGTACATACACACATGCTGTTGGGTTCCTTTTTTTTTTTTTAAATTGAACTCCTCCCTTTGGTACATGCAGAGGTGTTTCCAATGTGTCATTCTGGGAATAGGTAAACACAGCCATCCCTCCCCTCCACTTAGAACATCACAGAGAGCTAGCCCCGCCTCAACTTCAGATTTATTTATTTAGTTTTGCTGGCAACATCAAAAAGTGGGCTGCTTCTTTTCTCCCTAGACTCTGAAAAAAGAATCCTTTAAAAATGGTTTTTCTAAGCACCACAGGCAATATAAACAAAGCTTCGCACTGACTTCATCTGGCCTAGTTCATCTGATAAGCAGCCGCTGCTGAGCTGTACGACAGATGCCTGAGATTCAGGGTGCTCAGTGCAACAATTCTCTCAAGATGTCCCCAGCACACCACAACCACAGCTGATTTTAATGGAGACGAATGCAGTAGGACAATGCAGTCCTGTCCTGGGATTTTCTAGTGAGCAGAGTTCTGGGCTTAATAATGAGAGTCCCCACAGCAAAAGCCTCGGGGGTAACCCTGATTATCTCCCAAACAACAGTCTCACCAATAACTAGGGCTGACTGCAGAGGATCAGAGAACATCACAGCCGTAATAGGGAAGAATTTAGTTAATAATCTCAATTACTGGGACACACACATACATCTAGCTTAAAAGGGGCTCCCAGCAAATCAGATTCACAGATCTTTGTGGACAAAAATCACCTAGCAGGCTGTCTGTCTCACATGAGCTTCCCTGTGTGTGGCTGCAGCTCTCACTCCTAGGAGACTGCCATGGTTCCCCTGTCCCTGCTTCCAACGGCATCACTTAATTTTCTACTCTCATATCAGATAGACAAAGTGGCATTTCTGGATCTGGGCGGAAAGGAAGAGAACTTCACTGGGCTGTGGGGAAATGACCACACTGTCACTGGGAGCCCAGCTTCAGAGACAGACAGAGAACCAAATCTGGTGACTTTTCAGCCACAGGAATACCACCAAAATAACTCAAGGGCTGCATCCTGGGTTGGGGGTATAGCTCAGCCATGGAGTGCTTGCCCAGCCTATTTGACACTCTGAGTTCAAATTCTAGTACAAGAAGGACTGGAAGTTGCATACTGACTTGGGCAATGAGGCCCAGCACTGTTGGCATTGGGGTTTTTTTTTTTTTTGTCTCATGGGGAAAAAAAGAACATTTATTTAACCTGGAGGTGTGTAAGCGCATAACCTGTACACATGTGTGTGCACATGTGAATGTGAATGCATGCATGTGTGTACCCATGTGTTGGGCCCCAGCCCCCATGGGGTCTCTCTGAGTTGCTGGTCAGCCTACAAGTGCTTCTTGTTTTCTAGTCCTGGCTTACTGCCCTGGCCTTGACCCTCTGACATCAACATTTAGCAGAAGGAAAACATGCTCTCTACCTCCTGGGTTTTTTTTTCCACTGTGCTGTAAGCCTGTATATAAGGCTGCTCCCTCCTACAAGAGAGAGACCTCTTAGCACTTGCAATAAAGACACAGACACTGACACACACACACACACACACACACACTCTCTCTCTCTCTCTCTCTCTCTCTCTCTCTCTCTCTCCTGGCAATAAAGGCAACACATGCATTCTCTCAGTACAAACAGCTGGACGTCTTGTCTTTCTTTTCCTGATACCTTGGACTTGCTTGTGGCGTGGGCACCGCAATACCCATGTGTGCTTGTACATCAACACTCCCACACATATGGGTATAAGTGTGCATTGTGCAGATGTGTTTACATGTGCACACCCATTTGTGGCCATTAATCTTCATAGTCAACTCGACTGGCTTGAGAAATGTCTCAGATTATTACAGTACAACTCTGGGTATGTCTGAGGGCATTTCAGAAGAGGATGAGTTAAGTGGGGAGATACCACTAGAATGTGGGCGGTGCCATCCCTTAGACTGGGAACCTGGCAGAGTGGAAGGGGAGGAAAAGGAAGGCCCTTAGTGAAGACTTGCTCTCTGCTTCCTGGCTGCAGTGAGCTGCTCTGTTCTGTAACACCATGATGGACCAAAACCTCTGAAACCATGAGGCCAAATAAATTGTTCCTCCTAATCTCTATCAGTGCCACGTATGTGCAGCAGTGCATACACGTGTGTGTGTGTGTGTATATATATATATATATATATATATATATATACGCATGTGCACACATATTTAAGATTTTTCCAGTGTGCCCCAGCTCCATAAACCTTTGGTGGTTCATATGAGATTGGAATTTGACTTAATCGGATTCCCTTCATCCACCTGAAGTCCTTTGGGGGGAGAACCAGTGTCCACTTCGAGAGAAAGCACTTTATGGACTATGGATGTACCGTAGGACTCCTTGGCCCAGGCAGGCTCCCAGATAAACAGGCCCAGCTTTGATTTCTCAGCCAAGCTTCCAATAAGCCTTCGTGAAAACTCATTTGACAGTGACTGCTGGCCAGACACACTGTCCCACTTATATAACCACATGAAAGTTTTGACCCAGAGAACAGAATCAGACAAAATGACGGGGGTGGGGGTTAAGGTGGGGGGCACAGGACAGAGTAGCAGGAGTCTTTCTACCAGTCTTTGTGACACACCAGAGGTACTCACCATGGTCATGGGCAAATACCATCATGTCCAGCCCCTTTAGCATCTGAGCCAGCTCATCATAACGGCCGCAGTGCTCCCCAGCGCCATGGGACACAAAGATGAGGGCCCTGGAGGATAAGAAGGGAACAGTTAGGAACAGATAAGACCACTGGAGCAGGTGGGATGTGCCCTCAGCAGTGTCCCACCAGGTGTCCCCTCTTTACCCGGAAAGTCAGTGCCTGAGAGGTCATGGGAGCTATGTCAGGGTCAGGCACAGAGCTAGAACCTAGTGGGCGACACCCTCACCAGGATTGTTTGTTTCTGGGTGACAGCACAGGGCATGTGGATCCTGAAATAAACACAGCATTCACGCAGAAAACCCAGAGTGGAGAGTGAGAGTCCTCTTCGGGTGAGGAGTTCCTGCCCATAATGATGACAGGATAACAGCCATAGCCGCCATTTTCCCCAGCCTTCGTACCTGCCAGGCCCTCTGATAACTGAATATGAAAGGACTGCAATCCTCTGTTGTCATTTTCTGTGTTTCTGTCTCTACAGATGACAGCAGAATTCAGAGAAGTTAAGTGTCTAATCGGCACAGCAGGTTAGTAAGATACCTGTCAGAATATGTCACCTCCTGGCTTTAAGGTCTCCAGGGTACTGTCACAGGACTCAATACAAAACCCCTTTCCAGGCCCTTCTGCCCAGCCTAGTCCCCATCATTCATCACAGGGCATGGCAGCATTGTTTCCTGGCTTCCCTGCCAGCAGAGCTACCACAGCCTTGTACCCTGGACCAGCCCCGCATCCCGGGCCAGCCCCTACACACAAGCTGGATAAGCGACTAACCCACTCAAAAGCTGTGTTCTTTCCACAATCCCTCCAAGCCAAGCCCTGCAGGCTGCTAGCAGTGTGGGTCTGTCTCACCCTGCTTCACATTTTAATTTTTGAGAAAACCACCTTTGGCATTTGTGTTTCCTGCCTCTTCCTAAAGACATGAGACCTGATTCTCCAACCTGTTGTGCTCCTCAGATAGGTAAACTGTATTTACTTGGACATCGATGGGCAATGACACCTGCCTGCTTGACATTCCTGGGGTAAGCAGACACGTGTCTTCCATAGTTCTTTCAGCTGCTGGGGAGTGTGCCTGCGACCCCAACATCCTCCACCTTCACAAGGATTTCACTTCCCAAGGGATGGCTCAGGGTTGCCCATCCTTGGGACGATGGGCGTCTGTGGCGACTCAGCCCATGGTTACTAACAGAAAAGTGGTCAAGCAGGATTTCACAAATGTTTCAACTCCTTACCATGGCCCACAGCAGAGGACTTCAGAGGGGTCCTTTGGGGATCTAAAACAACAGTACAGGTACCATTTCCATGCCTGTGTTAGCATCTATTCCCTGGTCAACCTGTGACAGTGGCTTAGACACTTCTGTACACTCCTGTCTCTCCAGCCACTCCTGACTTCAGCCCTATCTGAGGATCACTGGGGAGCATCTGGAACCACTGGCATGTGGGTTCCGCACCAGAAACTCCAGGTTCAATTAGTCTGGAGCTGGAGAGGCTCCTCATGGCTAAGAAATGCCTGCTCTGGCCAATGGTCAAGATGTTGCTCAGAGGACTCCATAGAGGTAAAAATGCAGCCACCATGGACAGCCACTTCTAAGTCATAGCATCCACAGGGTGCATGCTGGTTGAGCCCATGGCTTCTGTCCACAAAGGCATGAAGCCTTCAGGAGCTTACTGCTGTCACCTACTGGGAAGAAACTGACCGCATGGCTGCCCAATGGGAGCAGGGTCGATGACTTCTCTGCCCCAACCAGTTCCAGTGCAGCCCCCCCAGTGGGCATACTCAGACTCACCCCGTGGACACGCTCAGCCTCACTCTGGGATACGAAATGGGATATTCATAGCTCCAGGTTTCAGATCTGGCATGGATCCCATTTTGATGTCAGCATGCATACATGCATACCTGCATACCTGCACACACACACACACACACACACACACACACACACTGCATGCATGCATGCACACACACATGTTCTATGTTCACTGGGTCTAAGTCTGTCTGGTTAAGTGAAATTAAGTCAGACTGCCCTGCTTAAAGCTCTTTGGAGATCTTCTCTGAGGCAAAACAAAGCATCAGAAGCACCATCACCTTCCTCCTCTCCTTTACCGCTCAGGAGCCTTTAGCTTCCTTCCTGTTCCCAGACATGCCAATCATGGCACACTACCAAATGCTTACCTGGGGAAGCCTCATGTCCGGCCATTTCTCCATGGCTGGTGGTGTCCAGCTATTAATGGGTGTCCCTAGACACTCAGTTCAGGAGATAACCCCCAGGTCCCTCTCCCAGACAGGTCTGAGCTGGCTTGAGTGCATTCTTACAGTATGCATCCCCACCTGCACCACTGCCTGCTGAGATTTCCTGCTTGCCTCTCAGTCTTCACCTCTCAGCGTCCTCTGCCCTGGGGTCTCTGAATCCTGAGAACCCCGCCAGTACTTGTCACCACCATTTGTCACTTATTTTCTTTTGTCTCCTCAGTCAGTTCTGGGCACAAAGGTCCTGTCTGTCTTTCTACTGTCATCTTCCCAACTGAGATGTCAATGTCCAAGGCAGCAGAGTGGGGACCTGACACCTTGCAAGAGGACTCCTCCAGCATACCTGGCCTGGATTCCTGTCATGCCAGTCTCCTGTTTAGAATGGAGGATAAAGCAGGACCTTCCAGAACCCTCTAAGTTAGCCACTGGCTGCACTTGCGGCTCCCTGCCACCTGGCTCTCCCGGGGCACTGCCCTTCCACACATACACCAACAGCTGCTCCAGAACTCCCTCTGTATGCCCCACTAAGCCCTGAGGTTGTGTGCCCCTGGCCCATGTTTCTGCTTTTTGTATGCTCGTTTAAAGTGAAGGGCCAGCCCCTAGTTCCAGGATTGCTAATGGCACATCCACAGTCACCCCTGGAAGCCGCTACCACTTGCAAGCATCTCCACTGGGGGTTCACAGAACATTGGAATTAAACTTCTGCTTCAAGGAGTCTGTGACAGAGCTTGAGAAGTTGAGACATACAGAGGCTGGGAGGCTGGTGGAGTAAGAGCAGCCCGGTAACGCGGAGCAATGCCCTCTGGACCCATAAGACAGTCACGGTGCTGAGGTCAGAGAAGCTGTCATTACCTGAAAGGTGCCCTCACAAGACCAGGCCTATGACCATTTCCTCAGAGAAGAAAGAAGGGTCATCAGACCCTCACCCAAGAGCCTAGAACCTTGCAGCTATGCCCACACAGCGCCATACAATTCTGCCCCACCTATACATGATCTCAGGAAGTGCCAGAGTAGAGGCAGAACATTAACTGAAGGGCAGGGGGACACCATACACCCTGTTTAGACATTTGTTCACATCTCCCCAAGAAAAGTCAAGCTTGGCTTGGTTGTTGGTAACCCTCAGCATGGACAGAGAAAGGAAGAGACTCTTGCCTCACAAGACAGAAGCACCGTGGTACCAAATATGGCCCAGAAGTATGGCTGGGAGCTTGTTAGAGCCAGACTCCGGGGACTCTGAGATAAAAGCACACTGTTGTGTTGCCCCTGCCTGTACACAGCTTCTTAGTCTAGCAGGAAAGCTGCTCAGTAAGAGGGGGCATCCATATGCGTACAAAGAGGAAACAGGCACGAGAGGCCTACTTGGTCTTGGTGGACTGGCCTTGGGCAGAGTATCTGAGGAGCCCAGGCCTGATGAGCACTCCCTGGTTATGGGGACAGGTGCACCAAGTCCAGGCATAGGAAGAAGGACCAGCAGCAGCCAGACATTACTTGGTGGTAGTGATGGAGAAAGGAGGCGCTCCAAGGTGTGGGCAACATGGGGGAGCTGGGAAGTTTCTCTAAGAGAAATGATACCAAGCAGGGTGGTGACCTGATATGACTTCTGTGCTGAGCTCCCAGGGCCACTATGCATCATGGAGCCAGGAGGCAAGAGGATGCTTGTCAGAGAGCTGATGCAGCCAAGCCCTGAACAGGTGCCAAGGGAAGCGGTCCAGTGCCGTCCCTCCTCCCCTGGCATCCCATATCCTCAACAAAGGACCACAGCTGAGCATCAGCAGAGCTGTTTGTGCAGACAAGGCAGGACCCACAGCAACAAAATTTAGGTTGCAGAAGAGGCTGCACAGATCTTTTCCCTGGAACTTCCCTACTGATGCAGCCAGACGGGAGCCAGGCGTTCAGGGGGAAGGCAGTGGCTGTGGGAGGGGCAGCCGGCCCCAGAAGCAGATGGCCTGCCTGGCACCCAGCCCCGAGAGGAGGGGCCACCCTAGAAACCATTTGGAACCTGAGATAAAGGAGCCAGAGGCTCAAAGCTTTTCAGAATGAATGAGCCCTCACTGGGTGGCATGGCTCTTCCTCCCAAGAAAAATGAACTTGCCCTTCCCTGACAGTTCAGGTGGTCTAGTCTTGCTGAGCCTCAGTTTGCCAGCTTGTGAACTAGAGGTGAGTCCACCACGCTTCAGATGGCACTGCCAGTAAATAAGACGTAGCTTGCAGCCCATATGTAGCATGGAAGCCTAGGTTCAAGTTCAGTGCTCTCCACAGCAGATGCCTAGACTGCCACAGACCTTGACTTCTACACCTGTGAAATAGGAATGCCAGAATTCTTTGAGATGGAAGGAGATAAGGGCCTTGAGCTGACTAGTTGTGTTTTGTTGTTGTTCATTTGTTTTTTGTCAACTTGATACAAGGGGAGAGAGCCTCAGTTGAGAAATTGCCTCCATAAGCGTAGGATGTGGGCAAGCCTGTAGGGCATTTTCTCAGTGATGTAGAAAGGCCCAGACCATGGTGGGTGGAGCCAGCCCAGGCGGTGATCTTAGGTTCATAAGAAAGCAGGCTGAGCCAGCCATAATGAGCAAGCCAGTAAGCAGCACTTTTCCATGGCTTCTGCTTCAGCTCTTCTTTCCAGGTCCCCACCCACTGTGAGTTCCTGCCCTGGCTTCCCTCAATGGACTGTGCGATTCGGGATGTATGTCTGTCTTTATAAACCCTTTCCTCTCCAAGCTGCTTTTGATCTTGGTGTTTTGTCACAGTAGTGGTAACTCTAATTAAGACAGGCCCAGAAGTGTGCCCAAAGGCTCTGAGTACCCTCTCT